AAATATATACTTTTATTTATTTATTTTTTTGAGACAGCCTCACTCTGTCGCCCCAGGTAGAGGGCAGTGGTGTCATCACAGCTCACTGCAACCTCCAACTCCTGGGCTCAAGCGATCCTCCTGCCTCAGCCTCCCAAGTAGCTGGGACTACAGGCACATGCCACCCTGCTGGCTAGCTTTTAAAAATTTTTAAACAAAATGTCCAGCTAATTTTTCTATTTTTTGTAGAGACAAGGTCTGGGTCTTGCTCAGGCTGGTCTCAAACTGCTGACCTCAAGCAATCCTCCTGCCTCGGCCTCCCAGAGTGCTGGGATTATAGGTGCGAGACGCCGCACTCGGCCGAATATATCTAATTTTTGTCAATTTCTTTAAAAGCTGGGAAGAAATAGCTCATAAGAAGGATATAGAAAAGAAGAACTTAAAGAGCTCCCGAGACCAACTTGTCACCACGTGCCTCACTCCCCAGCTCCGACAGCTTTGAACTGATCGAGAATTTTCTTCCCCCGCAGCCCTGCTCTGCTCTGAAGGCCAAGATCTTCCCAACATTTCAAGCTCCGTCGGGAATGCCATCTCCCGCTTTGAGCATTGTAGTGTTAAATAATTCCCACCCAGGTCTGCCATCGGTGCAGCAGACGCCCTGTGTCCTCGTGTCCTCTCAATGAGCTGCTATATTTTACCTGCACTCACTTTTGTGGGTTTCTGTATTTGCAGCCAAAAAAAAAAAAAAAAATGCCTAAAGAATCACATTTTCTATTCCAGAGGCGGAGGTGAGGATGAGGGTTCCTGGATCTCCCACCTGAATGAGCGCGTCGAGGGACCCAGTGACGATCAGGTTGTTCTTAGGACCAAAAACGGCTGTCTGGACTGTGTCCTCGTGTTGCAGATCGGTGGCCGTGAACCGCTGGAAGCCCTGTGAGTCGGCCAAGAATATCCGCACGCATCTCCCAAAGCCTGAAACGGCAAAGGGCTGGGCTTAGTCCTCCTGTGCCTGGAGGCGCTTGAGGGTAATGTGGTCAATCACCAGAGATGTTCTGGGGCACCTGCTGGGTGCCAGGAAGGTGGACATGATCCCTGGGGAGGCAGCGCCCCCTGCTGACCTCCTGGTTTCAGACTTCAGGCCTCTGGGACTACGAGACCATCAATCCCTGTTGTTTTAAGCTCCCCAAGTTTGTGGGCTAGTTTGTTACAATAGCCCCAGGACATTTGAGCCTGGTTTAGTGGGATCAGGAGGTGGCAGCCACTGGAAAGGTGGGAACGGCAAGAGACCACCAGGAGGTAGGAACGTCCTGAGGGTGTCTGAGGAGCTGTAGAGACTGGTGTGGCTGCCAGAAGTGAAGAAGGGGGCGACGGAGGATGAGAAAGGGTGGTTCGATTTAACAAATAAACAAACAAATACCAGGACACCCCGTTAAATGTGAATTTCAGATAGACAATCAGGTTTGTTTGTTTGTTTTTCACTAGTATAAGTACATCCCAAATAATTGCACGGGATGTCATCTATCTGAAATTCACATTTCACTGAGGGTCTTGTATTTTTTCTGGCAACCCTAACCCAGGGGACTTGCTCAGTAGCATTCCAAATACGATCTGAGTGATGTTTTGTCGAGAGGACACCTAGCAGGGCAGGGAGGTGCACAAAGGACAGATTTATGCAAAGTCACTGAGGCCCCAAAAGGACATAAATGGGCTGGGCATGGTGGCTCATGCTTATAATCCCAGCAAAAATGGGAGGTCGAGGCGGGAGGATCACTTGAGATCAGGAGTTCGAGACCAGCCTGAGCAACATAGTGAGACCCCCGTCTCTACTAAAAATAGAAACATTAGCCGGGCATGGTGGCATGCACCTGTAGTCCCAGCTACTCAGGAGGCCAAGGCAGGAGGATCGCTTGAGCCCAGGAGTTAGAGGCTGCAGTGAGCTATGATCGTGCCACTGAACCTCATGTCCAGGCAACAGAGCAAGACCCTGTCTCCAGGAAGAAAAAGAAAAAGAGTCTTGTCCTTGAAACCCCCGGGCCACCAGTCGGGTTGTCCCCTTCCACTGGCACCAACAGCTCAGGGGTTGCGTGCACCGGTGATCGTGGACCCATTCAAGTGGGCATCCTGCCCTGTCACAGGAACTGTTTGCTTGTAAGATAGGCGCGCCATCAATTCTTCCGGATATTCAGAAACCACATATTGATGAATAAACAGATGTTCTGATGCAGGGCAGCATCGTGTTTGAGAGCGTGGAGTCAAGCCAGACACTGGGTTCAAACCCTAGCCCCTCCACTTACAGCTGTGTGACCTCAGGCGAGTTACTTAACTTCTCTGTGCTTTAGTTTCTGCATCTATCAATGAGAATAATGAAAGTGCCTACCTCTCAGGGCTATTGTTGAGAAGTAAAAGAGTTAACAGCTGCAAATCCCTTAGGACAGGTTCTGACACGTGTAACCACCCAAGTATTAGCCACTATTGTGGCGGTAACTCTCATATGGGGTGAGTTGCTATGCTAGGTGCCTCCCGTACATCATCTCGTTTTAGCAACTGTCTGATGACGCACGTCCACTGTACGAGGATATTTGCACCACATCCTTGTGCAGAAAAGGATTCTCAGCAGGCCTGGCTTGGCCACACCCTGCACATGAAAGGTTTGGCCTTGACCTTCTCCTGGGAGGTGACCTGTAAGCACTTGGAATGTCCTGTCTGATAAGAGAGGTTTGCTTACTCGAAGGGTTCAGGTTGCTCCAGATAGTAACAAAGTGATTTACGGTGGGAGCTTCGGGACATGTGGT